AAAAAAATATTTGTTTTGTTTTAAACAAAAAAAGTAACATACGAAATGTCAACGTAGTTTTAATGCCTTATTCTTAATAAATAAATAAACATAAATTAATACTGTTTATTAGTAAAGGGTACCCAAATTTTGACATGTCTAAGTCATCTAGTGACCTAGGTGGGGCAATTTCTTTAAAAAATGTCAAAAACAAACAGTCTTTGTAAAAAACAGTTTCAAAATATAGCTTGCCCCTTTTAGATTCCTTTAAATTTGTGATCAAAATGACTTTTAGATTTAGAATTAGTTGGTAAGATTGAAAATATAGTATAAAAATCTTTCTTATCTCTATCATAGGTTACTTAAACAGAAGTTTAATTGAAAACACTGTAAAATTCATGTTAATAAAAAATAATATTTATTTACTTCTAATATAGCAGGCGAACTTTACATATAACTTACGTAAACTCGTACCTATATGTATACAGAGTGTCTCAACTAAAATTTGCCTCCAAATTTGAAAAAAATGGTGAAACAGGATACTTTAAAAAAAAATAAATAGCAAGATGAGTCTAGTGACGTATTAGTTTGAGGATACTTCGAGCAGTATATTCCTTAAATTAAATTGTTTTTTCATAACGAACCATCATCGTTTGTTAGTCTCAAAAAATCGTTCAAAATTGAAAAAAAAAACAATTTTTTTGAAGAGGTGGCCCTGGGCGTTAGATGGATGCAGAAATAACTTTAAAACTTTTATGAAATTTACCCCGTTTAAGCTAAAATTGATTTGTTTTAGCATTTTTTACAAACTTGAATGAAATCGGAGATTTTAGGGAGTGCAAATTTTAGTTGGAACAGCCTGTATTTTTAAATTATACACTTAATTTCATGCAAGTTAAAAAAAACGGTAATGTGATATCCCTGTAAAGCTTTAGGATTTAAAAAGTATTGGTTTCATTAAAATTTCTCGGGCAATTAAGTAACAAAGTTTTATTAATTAAGTTTGTGAGCCTAATTACTAACAGAAAAACTGAGATAATCTTTGTGGATGATTGTAACGAAATCAATTTGTAAAGTTTACGAGTGAAATAAGAAAACTTGGGTTATATGCCATTTGCAAACAAATTTAGCCAGAAAATCGGCGTTAATTCAGCTCAACTAAACAAACTGGATTGTGGTGTCTTATCAAAGAATAAAAATATCAAACATTGTATTTTAGAACTGAATTATTCGAAAGCGTGTTGGCGGTTCGTTAAATTAACCAGATATCAATCTTAACGTTTACAAACACATCAATACCCAAGTGTATAAATATCTAACYCGGAATCCAAAACGCAACTTACTCAAAATTGTTTGGATCCTTTTAAAACCATTTTGGGTGACTTTCGACTTGAACTTGGTTTATTTACTATTCAGTTTATATTTAACTGCGGTAGGGAACGAATCTAAACTGTAGATAAAAATAGTTTTCTGTATATTATGCATGCACATGTCTGTACAAACATCAATACAATTATTACCTCTCATACAAAACTGAAACAGTTCGTGTTTGTTTAACTAAAAGAATGCATTAATGTAGCTTCTTATATGCAACCCAATCCGTTATTGAACGAAGGTCGTCGTTGATTTAACATAAACATTACCATAACAGTTGCAAAACAACGGATGCGGTTGTTTCTCTGCCAAAGCACTTTTTCTCGGTTTTGCGTAATTTATTTTCGGTTACTTACATTAGCCAGCTGATCGAATCTTCCAAACAATTCGTTGAGCAGTCGTACCAATTCCTGGGCCGTACACTGCGATGCCAATACAGTAAATCCGACGATGTCGGCGAAGAGGATGCTGAAAAAATAAAAGAGCAAAACGTATAACAGTTTCCAGAATTAAAAAAAAAAACACTTTAGTGTTTTTTTTTAAACTTAACCAAATTATTTAAAGTAGCTGTCGAAAAACATAAATACTATCATCATATATTTTAAAATGCCAACAGCATTTTGTATGTTGTACTTACAAAAATGACTATTCTGATTTAATCTTGGCAACAAATTCCTGCCCATAAGCAAAACTGACACAAAATGTTTGATATTTCGTCGTTTTTAGCATATCTAAACAAAAAAATCTTCTTCAAAAACTATATAGCAAAAAGTAAAAGCAATTTTTCAATAATACAGCCACATTCGAACATAATMAACAACATATTTCATGACCTTAACCTATGTACAAGGATTCGTATTACTAGATTTGTTGAAACATTTTCTCGTTTTCTAAATTGTTTAATAAATGCACATTTTCGTCTACTCAATAAAGAAATCTATTTATTASACTTATTTCAACATTCCGTTTGATCGTTTTATTATTAAGACAAAAGATTTATTATACTGCTGAAGTCAAATGGGAAAGATTTATTTTATTAGTTTGTGCAAAATTCTAATAAAATTTTTGCTTCTGATGTTGACTTGACCGCTGTTTGTCAATAGGTACATCAATTAAAAAAAWTGTTTTATTTAAGCCACATCGACTAAAWAATGTGCATATTTTTATCTTTAAATATTGATTTTAAAAAGCCATTAAAAACTCCATATCTCCAAGTTTTCAATTTAAAACACAAATTCGGAAATAATAACACAGAATATAGCTTTCCCAGACATAATCCTGGTCTTCAAATAAGTAAATATAATTTCCTTTATTGACACAGTATATTGACTATAAAATTTATTATTTTCTTGAGATAACACTGTGTATTTTCTTACAGATATCGATAAGTGCGACAATTTAAATTTGCAAAAAACAAATAGAATTGTTTGTCAGAAAGCTAATTTGTAACCGGCAAAAAGGCCTTGTAGTGGGTCATTACAGAAACGTTAGTGTAAGCTTTTATCAGATCGAAGTAAAAATCACTGCCGAACATAATTTTTTACGACACGTTATATAAAAATGGTGGATGCGCCGGTTCACTGCTTCATTTTTTCCATTTATAAATCAACCGAAATCGACGTCACTTTTTGCTTAATTACCCCGCAACATGAATCTTAATTAGGTCCATAATTAGCCTCGAAAAATATCTTTCAGTTAATTTATAATAATCTTTGAGTACGAGAACGATTCAACCCCTGACATTTTAAACAACCCTCCATTGGTTTGTGTGAGTTGCTCCAACAAAACGCCCTGTTATATTTAAGCTGTAATACTCCAACATTTAACAAAGTTGCTCGGAATTGAGTCTCGAATAAATGTTTCAAACGTTTACTTTTAAAAAGGACGAGGCGCAGATATGAGTTGCTTTAATTATTAAAATGCCTAGATTCAAGTTTTAGCTTGCTTTGATAATAATTTGTTTAAACTCAAGCTCTGGCAACCGACAATTTAAAAGGTAGTAGTGAGGATTTAGAGAGCCAATCAAATAAACGACACGCAGTTGCAAATCGCTTGGGATTTGAACTAAAAGAAAAACCCAATTTTATAAAATCCTCACAGTTAGCATTTGAAATTTATTATTAGCGTGTCGTTTATCTGAGACACGAAGTTGGCACACTATGCGAAGTTGTTATCGTGGTTGCAAGACTTTAGACTAATTTTTTCGCTTTGGTTTGCTTTATTAAAAAATTGGGTGTGTTTAAAAAAAATAAGACCTGACCAAACTGCAAAAAAGTTGACTCTGCTAAAGTTTATCAGCGAATTTAAATTACGGTCGACTTAATTTGGTCAATTTCCATCGTCAGAGTAAATTACCGCATATTCTATGAATCTAATTCAATAGTTAGATAACGAGGCAGCAGTCAATACGATCATTACATTGGTCATTCACCCCTTGATTTTTATTCCTCGTTAATATTGAATTCTGTTTGTGTTTGACGTGGGGAAAAGTTTTAAACATTAATTTTTCACAAAATTTCATAACATACTGGGCTTGAAATTCGAAATTCGGGCACAAAGAGCTAATATCAAAATTATTTCTGGAATTATATAACARGAAATATCCGTGTATGCGTGCTGGCATTTCCCATAGGACGGTTATAATTTATTCCTTTATCGTTTATCTATACTCTTCTTTACCGGGAAATTCTGGACGGAAATTTAAGGTCCTGAGTTCAATCACGGAACGTTATTGACCTACCATGATTCTTAATGCCAGCTTTTCCATTYTCTTCGCWTTTAATAAGTTCCCAATATGAATAAAATCCAGGGATGAAATACGACGAAATGTCAACTCGGCCTCAACTCGAGACGGGTTGTTCCCCTTTGTAATTTCAACACCTATTTTACAGGCGACGAAACAGGCGCAAATATATTTTATATTAAATATAAATTCTTCAACGCTTCGCTGGAGGTAAAATAAAATATTTATATTGCTTTAGAAAATGTCTGAAAACTTTGCATTTTTATTTCAAATTACAACAATTTTTATCTGTAATATTTAGACATTCCAAATATGTACATATAACTTTTTCCTTTGCTGAGTTTATGTTGGTTAAGTTTTTTGTTCCAGTCCTTATTGATCCGCACTTCAAATTTACAGAAAAATAGTACGCCTCTCTAATTTTTGGTGAAGTAAATAAAAAAAAACAAAGCTAAATTTTGTTTTAATTAAGGTTCAATACAATTAAATTTCATTAAAATTTTTGTAATTTAGTAGAAATTTTAAAACAGATACAGTGTTTACAAAACTTATCCTGTATAACACAAAATAAAAAGATTTTTGATAGCTTTTTAAAGTTGTAGAAAATTGTTTGTTATCAAAAACAAAAACAGTTTTCGTTTAAATGAAGTTTCACTAATACTTCGGTATTCATAAACAATTAAAATAGTATATTTAAGTACAAGTTGCAGAATGCAAGCACAAATTTGAAATTAAATGAGTGCTTGAAAAACCTTCTGCAACAAGTGCTTTATACTATTTTTTCTATTTTGCCGCTTTATATCATTTTATAAATTAAAAAACAAAAATTTTAATTTATTTTTCTAGAGAATTTTGCGACGGTTGGCGACATTTATGTGTAATAATTTAACGAATAGGCGGCAGTAAAAATAAAAATAATTCTTATTTACACATTTGAAAATGAATTGTGAAGAAAGTCCGTCACTAAAATTAAATTAACGCCAACGACTTATTCCAGCACTGAAATAACGTCATTTGGGTGTTGGAATAGACTTACTCTAACACCGAAATAAAAAAATTAAATTTCTCTAACTTTTCCAGTTATTCCAAAATTCAAACATTAACCTTTTAACACACAAACATTTTTAACAAGGCTTATGCTGCTGTGCATGGCGGTAGTATTAACTAAACTATACTAGGTCCATGCTACTGWGTAAAATMAAATTCAATTATCTCTAAAGTCGTTTTTTTATTGTAAAAATATTTAAGAGATTTTCATCCTTCATCAATTATAAATCAAATTTTGTTTAACTCCCCATGTATGTTTAAATTTAAATTTCTTGTTTATTTTAACAAACACTAAGTATTAAAAGTGTTTCTTTAAAAGCAATTCATAGAAAACTTATCGGTCCATTACAATTATCAATTAAAAACAAAATAAGATTTTGTTAAAATATTAAAAACTCTCAGAAACTACCATAATTTTTCCAATTTTTCAAAGATTTAAACAGCGATAACCTTTTTTGGTAATACTTGATTGTTATCTGATRATAATATCAGTTCTGTCTCCATGCTTATTATGGCAACGGTAACAGCCTAGACAGTTAAAATTTAATATGCTTGGATGTTAAATTTTGACGGACGTTGTTACGAATATTGCAAGACAAAAAGGCAAACTCAAAAGGCTACTTACGTCAAGTTTGACATTATTTGTCATTTAATAACAATTTTGCTAAAGTTTTTTAGTATCACGATAAGTAGTGAACGTTACACGGCCGATAAACKTACTCGGTCGATCATAAAATCTCGGCTGTCGATGTCGCCTCGACTTTACAACATTCAACGGCGTTTGTTATTTGCTTCTTATCGGCCTTATACCCTTAATAACTAGAACACAAAAATAATTTTTTCAAAACTTATCGTGTGTATTATTAAACTAAAAGTATTTCTTTAGCCTTTTTTTTTATCTACATACTTAAGACCTCCACAATAAAAATTTGGAACTCTAAAACTGCGAAAAGTTCTTTAATTTTTTCAAAACCTAAATAGAAATAACTTAACGGTTTTTACAAACTTGACATTATAAGTAGAAATAATACCTCAAGAGTCCTTCACAATTATAAAATAGCTGCAAGTTAAAACTCAAAAGTTTTCATAATTTTGTTAATCGCTCTTGCAATTTGTGTTAATTAAGCTTTAATTTACACGTCGTTTTATATTTTACTTTCCTCAAAACCACATTAGACAGTGCTAATTACTCTGGTAGTTGCAATTTAAAGTATGTAATAAAATGTGTACACCTGATAATAACTATAATCAACCAAGATCATAAATTAACTACTTGATAAATGATACAGACATTACATATGAATGAGTGACAGATTTGTTAATTTGTTGAATTCATTTTAAAATATTTCTTCGACATTGAAATATTTTATCAAAATATGTTTTTAACTTTTAAACAATCGGTTTGGATTTTAGCCAACATTCGTATAAAACTCCGAACGCGAAATTAATTATTCATCTCGACATGTTCGGGTGTGTTTGTTCCACTCYCACTGGTTATAATAAACCAGTTTAGTAAATGAAACGTAATTTGTTACACGTTTTTGCACAATTAATCGTTGAAATTTGTCTGACCTGAAATTGGTAAACAGGAATCGCATTCCTGGCCATAGTTGTGCAATAAGCRTGTGTTTTCTTCAATTTTTTTCCTAATAAACCACCCTCAAGTCCTGTCGAAACGAATGGCAATTCAATCACCGAAAGGACCCTCAAGAAAAACACACGTAAACTTTAATAAAAGTTACGACTCAAACGGGAACTTCCTAATAAAAGTAAAAATAGACTTCTTCCCAAGTAGACGACCTCACAGACTGACATTTACATCGTTAATTACAAAGACTCACCTAACATTTTCGTGCTTCTGGATGTAAATTTTATGGAACTGGCCTTCGACCGGCGAAATTATGTCGTTTTTCATCTCCATTGCGACGTGCTGGGGCAACACGGACAACAGGAGTCTCTCCTGCAAAAACAATCAAAATCGAAAACTCCAAGTGACAATTTCCGTTTAAAATCACTCACAAGTTTCTCGTTTTCGTCTTCCATCTCAAGTCGGGCTGCTATGCAGTTCCTGGTATCCAAGAAGGCCTTCCGTTGTGCATGCTCCATCAAGTTATGAACGAAAACTCCAACGATGTTGACGCATAAGAAAACCACAACGTTGGCACTCAACTGTAAAAAAGATTACAACCCTCAAAAACCACTGTGATTTTCGCTCAAGCGAAATTGAGGCAAAGCAAAAAATGTCAATCATCTGGTTTTGTATTTGTAATGAGAGTTAATTAAGGGGGTTGAGGCTGCCTCTGGCTCAAAGCCAAACGTCAGAATTGGATTTAAAATAGTGATGTGTGGACCTTGGGGACGCTCAGAGATGAAACAAAATTAAACAGAGATTTTGGAAAACACTAATAATAATTACGAAAAGATTTTTATTAACAAATTTTTATTATTATAAAACCACAGAAAATAAATTCTAATTTATTCAAACATCTCGCGTCTTAAAAATTTTTAATATTAATTGTGTTAATTGTACAAGTACTTCGTTTTTGTTAATTCATATAAAATTCTGAAAGAAGCTCTAGCTACTTTTTATATCTTCATTATTACGAATAGATAAAAATAGCTTGTCGACAAACTAGTACTTAATTTTTGATAATAGTTTGTCGACAAACTAGTACTTAATTTTTGATATTTCCCTTTTTGCGTTATTCTTTTTATTTTCTTTAAAAATTTCAAAGAAGTTTTCTTTCCGATGGTTAATCTTGGATGTACAAGTTATATTTCATATACAGAGTGATTATTTTAAAACGAGCCACCCTGGATATTACAAAAATTAGAAAATCACCCTGTATTTTTCCAAAGTTAGACTTTTTATTTTTATAATTTTTCACGCTCTTTGGATTTTACTGTTGTTAGGAACAAAAGAAGAAAATATTCTAACATATTAAAAAATGAAGAAGATGAATAAGTAGAAATAAAAAAAATGGATAAAAATGTGTCTTTAAGTTATTTTTACACATT